TAACAAGGAAGTGATGAAATTTAACAAGCATTATTATGATCAGTTAATGGTAAATGGTCTGCAATTATTTTGCACTTTACATTACACTACTGAATCACATTCACTCACTCAATGTCAGCTTGGATTTGGATATATGGTCACATTCACCCGTTCACACACACAATCATACAGTGGTTCTACAGCAGCATTTTTTCTACCACAGATCATTCACATACCAATCATAGGCAATATGGGAGTTCATTGTTTTGCACATGGACATTTCAAATCAATATTTTAAGACTTGTTGCAAATCAGTTCAAATACCATTCCACACTTCTACACGAGATAAAAGAAATGTTATTATTTAAACATGAAAAAGACGATAACCATTACAAAGAAATTTGAAGTCTCCTAAGTATTAAGTATTGTATTATGTATAATATGATAAGCACTACAGACAAATACTTTTTTACTAATTCCAACTTTGAGATTTTTGTTGGTTTTTCTGTTGTTTGCTTTTCTTTTTTCAATTATTTAGTTATTTATTTTTAGGACAGGTGGATGACAACACCACCTGGGACATAATGAGTGGTTATGGTTTCAGTTGGTGAAGGCTAAAAGATAAGGTTAATACAAAGAGAGGGATGGTATATTATTATGATTATGTATGATGCATATGTATGTTTATGTATAATTAACATTCCAAACATACCATATGAAGAAGCTTGTTTACTCAACAAAACATGACTCAATTGCAAGACTCAGAGAACAAAAGTTCAAAAGGCAGAGTCCTTTATTTGAAAAAACAAGATCGGTACACAAAAGAGCAGTCCAAACACAGGCAAAGGTTTCCATGAAAGATTCAAGCTGTGTCTGAAATCACCCACTCACTCCTCATTTCCCTACTTTTCACCATACAACTATAATGTGCTCATCGGGAAAAGTGAGAAATGCTTTTGACACTACTCATCACTACCTATTAATGACATCATTGTCATAGGATTATGATGTATGCCGTCAGCCGGTGGAAAATCGCCAAGTACATTTCTAGTGTTTATTTTACACTTAGTATTAATGTTTTAAGGTACAAAAACAGTTTGTGGTTTCTCCTATGATGCTCTGCTCTGCTCAGAGGGATACTTATACTTACAAATAGTTTTCCATCGACAACCTTTTTTTTTAGCAGGTTTTTAAAATAACAGTATGGTATCATCTTCAATCTAATTTTGATATGTTATGGTCATGTGAAGGACATAAACACACCTGAGCTCCAACATACCCCCCTGACCATGCATTGGTCTGGGTCTACACATTTTGTGTGCATCTCTCCATTTATTGAGCACTATTTATATAGCACCTAGAGTTGCTTTAAAGTAAATCATTAAATCTCACTTTCTACAACAAATGGCCTTAAAATACTTATAGTATAAATTATACTTACAGATGGCTTATGCTTATTGGAAAACTGTAAACCATTAATACATTTTTCATACAGTCACAAATAATCGGTGCAATGAAACTGAATTCAACAAAATGATTTCTTAATAAATAACACCATTCATTACAGCATTGAAATCTCACATCTAATAAATTGCAAATTTGTTCCAATAATGAGCAGCACTTTGGCGACTGTTGAGGGAAAAAACCTCTGGCAGAACCAGACCTGATGTGGGCTGCCACCTGTCCCAACCTGTTAGTCAGAACTTCTTCTAGTTCCAGTGTTTAATCCCTGTATAGTCCCATCTCTGTATCAGAATCTTGTGACTTATGGTGTCAAATGCAACACTTGTCCTCCTGGATGAAAGTAGAGAGACAAGTTCATTGTCCGGAGGCATGAAAAAATTATTGAACACTAATGCTGTTTCATTACTGTGATGCATATTAAATCCTGAATGAAGGTTGTCAAGCAGACAATTTTTGTGCAAGTTATCACGATAAGGATTCTATGAATGAAGAGAAGGTGTGATATACGTGTGTTTATAAGTAGCTAAAACATCTTGGTCAAGAGTGGGCATCTTAAGCAGAGGTTTAATTACTGCTACTTAAAAGGTACATAGCTGGTTAATCTGATTTAATATACAGTAGAACCGATGATAAAGGTTTGATTGTTTATATGTTTATATGTCATCTCAGAAAGATATATTGTAGAAATGTGGTCTAAATATGAATCATGGGGCTCACCTCCCCTGATTTACTACCAATGAAAGCTGAGGAAAGTTTAGACATACACCAAAAAAATGTGTTTCTTGACAATATCAGTAAAGCACAAATTAAATATTGCACATGACCTGTAAAAATGTAAAGCCTTTATTTCATGTATCGTACAGTTTGCACTACTGAACTGAGATACACAAAACATCAACAGGTACAGGCTACAACATAAATCTTAATTACATTTACATTCATGTTTGTTATTACCTAAAATTTTGCACATTTTCACAACCTCTGTGTGAATAAAAGCAGAAGTCAAGAGTTGCAAAAGCTTATTTTGTGTGTTTTTTCCAAACTGCAGATATACCACATAACAGTTGCGTTATGTGTTATACAAACAGTTTTGCAAAGTCTTGCAAAAAAAGGAACGAAAAAGATTGACGAAACACGGTGGCTTTGCATTAAGAGTTTGCTTAAAGTCATGTGTTTTGATATTGTATGAGACTGCCTCAATGAAAACATAAGATAATATGTTTGAAAATCAAAAACTATTACAAGAATCCGTCTTTTCCTGCTTTACTCTGACTGACAGACTCCTCAACATGAAGACTGACAAACACTAAAATGAAGTATGTAATTGCAATAATGCCCATGTGCGTAAGTGGAAATTTAGAAACAACCAAAATAGGTGCCATATCACATATTTATTTTTAGACATCTATTGCACTTCTGTCCATCCTGGGAGAAGGATCCCTCACATGTGGCTCTCTATGAGGTTTCTACATTCTGGTTCCCCTGTTTTTTTT